CTGGTCATCCAGTACTTGCCATTTTTTTATCCTCCCCTCTAGGTCTTCGGTGGATATCGTAACATCTATACGAGAAGTCTGGTTCCTCTAACGAATGTGGGTTTATTGCCCTCATTCGCCACGACCATTCCTCTTGTGGAGATCAATTCTTCCAGCAGTTCCACATTTTTATCGATGTACTTGGCTCCCCACGTAGTAGACTTCGCGTTGAAGTCCCCGCCCACTACTAGTCGTCTATTCCAACTAATCATCTTCTCCTCCAATGGATTGAAATATTCTCAATATATCTCAAACTTTACATTGGGTGAGATATATACCGCGCACAACTTGAACTTCATAAAATCTATCCACACCATTCCTCTCTTCTTTCCGCTCTTAGTCCACCCCGTTTCTTCCGTATGACTGTCTTGATTGATACATCCTTGTACTCGTCCGTAATCCATGTTCCATCTTCCACCAACTTCTTATTGGGTTCCGACACCAACACCACATCAACCTTCCATTCAACCACCGTGTGGTCCAGGAGTTCATGAGCAACCCTTCCCCGATTTAGATTTGTCTGTACTATAGGATCTAATTCCTTCGACCATTTCTTGGTATCTCTCGCATCTCAGCATCTCAGGCTGTCGGCCCGGTGCCCCTCTTTACTACACTCCCTGACCATATGCTTCTCACTCCCACATTTGACCTGACCTGACCTGACCTGACCTGACCTAACCTGACCTTTTTTTTTTCTATGACAGGGGAAACCCTCATGGGCACCAGGGACTTAGGTTCGATGTCTCAGGTAGTCGCAGGACTTTTACCGGCTAAAACCCCTTCCTTGACCAGATGTTCCCCTACACCCTCGTGGGGGTGGGTGGCCGTCACTTTTTCTTCCTTGTCCATATTCTTCCTAGTCTTCCCCATTTTTTTCCTTAATTCTTTCACTTCCTAGCTTTTCCGATTTAGCCTGTTTTTCTATTTTTATTAATTGTTACCTGTCTTCCCGTTTTTTTTTTATATTCCTTACTTTTCCCATTTATTTTCATCTTCTTCTTTCTTATCCCTCCTTTGCCGTTCTTTTTTTTTCGTGCCTGTCTTTATTGGTTGTTGCCTGTCTCTTTCTTCTCCTTCTTTTTTTCTCTCATTCACTCACCTCTCACTTCTTCTGTCCTTTCTCTCTGACCTGACCTGACCATTTTGTCACTGAGCTATTTTGTGTCGGGACTATAGAGATTGCCACTAACAAAGGGCGATGAAGCCCTGTCGAAATAACCTCGTACCATTTTCTTTCTCTTAAAAAACCTCGGACAAACTTGATTGTATTAGAAAAATTGGACCAAATCGTCACTATTTCAGTTGACACAGATTGCCTGAAAAGCGTTTTTTTTTATTGTTATTATTAAAGTGTGGCAACGTTGCGGACGTAGAATACGCCGTCCCGTGAAAAAAATACATTTGAATGCACTAAACTCCGCCTCGTATTCACATACACACTAGACGCCCTACTATGTGCTGGTAAAAGGACGCAACAATACCCAAACAATGAAATCAAAACTTTCTCTGTAGGGCTATACGGATAATTTTATCACATTCTTTCGTCCGTTCAAAAATAAGTTTATTTCTACTTCCAAAACTTAATATACTCAACGGTTTCTGGAAACGGCAATGAAAGGACGCAATAATGCTGAAAACGTACAAATATATCGAGCAAGTATAAAGAAGGCGAACCAGTGGAATTGGCACGTTTACCTCAAAATGCAAGTAAAATAGGACACGAGCGTGCAAAAACGCAAACTCTCCTGATCAGAATGCAATGCAATAACGTGATTAAGCGCTAACGTAATTTTAGGCATTAATTTCCATAATCTCCTCTCCATGATTGTATTTTGCATGTGTCAAGTATCGATTTGTTTTGCTAAGACACGATGTGAGTGGTTTGATCTCGGGAAGAATCTAGTACAAGCAGCAATTATGGACGGGTTTCAACAGCTACGCTGTCATTTTCCCGGGGTAAGCTATTTAGTTAGTTTATAGCGTAATATAGGAAGGAGCGAGAGCTCAGTTTTTGTTCAGTCAGGTCAGGTCAGGGGCGTTAAAACCCGATAGCATCCGGCCGGGAAAATAGAATAAGGCGGAGGGAAATTCAGCGAGGGAATATTAATGAAAATATTGATACAATACATTGAATCCGTACATTATCGGGGCAGAAGTGGATCACATTGAATATTCGGTTAGGGAAAGAAATGTGAAACTAGGCCCAAAGAGAAGGGTAAATAATACATTATAATAAATGTAGCGCGCTTCAGGAATTCAGCGCCATCTCAGGGAGAAGCTAAAATCGATTTGTCTAGTAGTGTGTGTAAGGGGATATTTGGTCCTGACAAATGAAAAAAAAATGTAGTGCAAGTCAAGATAATTGCGTTTTGCGGCAAGAAACTGAATGACTTTATTTGATTAATTTTTTATTAATGTTGTGGAGCGTTTCACGAAGCGTGTGTTTTTGCCAGAGTCGGTTTTGTTCGTCGTATATAAAATATTGTGGGATTTGGAATTATTGAAATTGCCGTTGGATGAATTTTGTAAAGGAGCTGTCGTAAAAACGCACCCCTTATTTAACAGGGAATAATCTTGTGGCGCCTTTTTTATTTCAACTGTAATGTCATTATTGTGCTTTTCGATCATCTCCATTTTCCAACACACGTATCGAAATTTTCTAAAACATTGTCAACCCCGATACTTAAAACTTTATCAATATTTCGCCCGCCGAGGCATCGTCACCCACTTTCATGAAGGGCTTACAACTGTCAAACTGACAGCACTAAATAATAATTACGGGGTAATTGACATTTTCATTTATCTTGGGCGCTGTAATTTAACACGAAATACGGAAAACTTACATCGCACTTCGAATTTCTTGGCGCTCCTGGTTGTTGCGAAAATGTAATTTATGCAACGAAAAGACATTATGCTAATTAAATTAAACACCGAATGAAGAAACCCGTAAAGAATACTTGCGTTAAACATTAATTTTCATTTTTATTAATCATCTTAATTAAAAAGCTCTCGATAAATTAGTTCGCGATAACTCGGAACACCCTAGCCTAAATTAATTTCCTAACGGCGAACAAAAATTGAGCGGCAATATGCGGACGTCCCTTCTCGGAAATTCACGCTTTTTGAGAGAACTAACTTAAAATTAACTTTTCACCGAAATGGGGAAAGGCATATATGTTACGTCTTGCTTTCTCTTCAGGGAAGGTTGCTTGAATGTGAATTGTTCAAGCACGAAACTCAACTTGAGACCAAAATTACGATGTTTTTCACTGTTCTATATACGTGTAAACTCCCACATCTTGTTACGTAAGCCACCGTAAAAAACATTTCTTTACAATTGTTTCCTAATTTTCACTAAAGCGATTTTCTCCACAAGGAGTGGGTCCTTGCAATTTATATCTCATGCACACGATTTCTAATATCGTGGTACCGAAAACCCAAATTTGCGCCTATTCCAGTTTTAACGTGGTTCGAGTCATCGTTAACTCCCTCGTAACTATCGACCGGCAAATATTATAAATAGAGTCATTTTATAGAAGGCCTAATTCGTGTTTGTCGCTCATTTCAGACTGTAACTTGTGAATGAAATTTATTCAGTTTTTTAGTTCAATGTATGTACAAATAAATATATGTATTCATTCCCGTCAAAAATTTGATGACGAATTCTATACAATTTTCATACAAAACCGTGTCCTGCCACATGTGTGCAGAGGAAGTTGTGTGCAAGTTTTCAGATCGATTATCTCTGGGACGGCTCTTAATAATTTCCCTGAAAGTCTGGGAACGCCAACGTTGCGATTAGTGTTACATTTTATGTGTCAAGATTAAGATATCTATCCCCACCAAACAGTTAATAACATTATTTTTTAACGACATTTATTTAAAATGTCGAATCCGTGTTTAGATCCGTCTTCTTTCTGCGGGTGATTTTATAAAACACACTGATATGAAAATTTCGGTGTCATTTCTTCGGCATCTAACAGTTTTCCAGAAGCACCAAATGAAATGTGGCAATTTTGTAGTTGTCTTGCCTACAGCATTTTTCAAGACATTTTCGTCCATTATTCATTATCTTACTTCAGCTTATATTTCTTCACCCATTAATAATTTAAATGGTTTGTACATTTACAAAACCACATTCGTAATTTTCTCATTTATTTTGTTTTTAGTGCTAACCGATTTTCCAAGTGAGCGAAAAGCCACACAAAAGAAACCGGAGAAGTCTTATTATGAAAAATGACTTATTCAGTGGGGAAAATCCGCAACAATTCGGATTTTTAATCCCTCTATTACTTACAGCAACCCACGTCTAGTCCGCCGAGATTCACCCAAACTTTTAAGCTAAAGCTATAAATTGACCGGATGCCTACCCTAATTTCTGAGCATGTGCGCCGTTTATTCACCACTCGTTACTTAATAGGCTTTCTTCTACGTTTCAATTTTCACTTCAAAGGTGGCATTTTCTTGAGAACTTCCAACAGCAGCGGAAAATTAATGGAAAACGTAACTTTGTCTCACTGTTGGAACAAAAGCTCAAAAGACAATACAAAAAAACCACTCCTGTTCTTTGTAGCAGAAAAACTGGTAGTCATTTATTTGTAGTCGGCGGGTTTTACACGGAGTCAGTTTAAAAAATCAAATTAAGGCGCGAACGGAAATAACTTGGACGACACGGACATTCAGCGCCATCTTTAACAAATGAACGAACGACAGAGTAGGCGCCTGGCAAACAAGGTTCCGATATTAACTAAGTTTTCACCCTTAAAGTTCAAATTTTCATGGATTTTGCCACCACGTGAGTAAAGTTCCATAATTAAGTTATTCATTAATCGATTCGTACACTGGCATTGTAAAAAGTAATTTGGTTTTCGCGTGCAAGTTTCAAAGTTTTTGTTTGACATGCTCAGAACCCGCGAACCTTGAAAATTTTCCATTGGCAGAACTGTGTTTTTCCCTAGATCATAATGTTAGTAAATAATTGCGGAACCGAGGTCGAATATTTTTGTGTTCCGTCCTAGTTTCAAAAAGTGTATATTATTTGTTAATAAAAATTATTTATTGTTAGTTATGAGTCATCTTCGAAAAGCCGTTTTAGGACGTAACGTCAAGCGCGTAGGGTTTGTGTTTGACAGGGTTATATGTTCAAGTTTTTCAGTTATGTATTTGTATTTCTAGGTTAGCCCCAAACCATGATTTTAATCCTGTGAAGTGGTCTCAGTATTTTGATACAGAAGAGACTGTAGAAACAGAAAATGGGACGTTTCATATTTACAAAAAAGGGGCTTCCGGCCCCGCTGTTGTATGTTTGCATGGGGGCGGTTATTCTGGGTTAACTTGGGCGTTGTTTGCCGTAAATATGCTTTCGAGAGTATAAAAAGTAGGTGAAGTAATTGTTTTTAAGGTGGAAGTTACAAGTACTATTGAATGTCAAGTTATAGCAATAGATCTTCGAGGTCATGGGAACACTAAAACTCAGGATGATGGGGACCTTTCACTGGATACAATGGCGCAGTAAGGGGTTGTTTATTAGCGGAAAAGTACGTTGGTAATTAAATTTTTATAGGGACGTTGTAGACGTACTAAACAAGTTATTTATGGGAGATGAGCCCCCTGTAGTATTAATAGGCCATAGCATGGGTGGTGCAGTAGCTGTACAATGCTCATATTTACTCCAATCAGCTGTAGGCTTATGTGTGATAGACGTAGTTGAAGGAACTGCTCTAGACGCTTTATCTTCAATGCAAAGCATTTTAAGAGGAAGACCAGGCACTTTCAAAAGTGTACAACATGCAATACAGTGGTGGTACTTCACTCAGTACTTTGAAAGTAGCCACAGTTTAAGAGTACTTTTTTAGTTATAGAGGTGGCCAGACTCATAATATTGAAGCAGCCAAAGTATCCATGCCTGGACAAATAATCAAGTGAGTGAGAAACGCATCTCCCCTTGTCACAAAATGAACTGTTCCACGTCCCGTTCCCCCCACTTCTCCATTGTATACATTGTCATACTAATACGATTTTCACGATTCCGTTTTCTTAGTATACAATCTGGGAAACTGGCAGCTAATGAATATGATACCTTAGAACTAGTAACTCCGCCTGAGTTGTCTGCGCCTTCTAGAAAAGAAGTAGTTCCACCCCCTGCGACAATAGTAGAAGTAGAAGAAGACGATGAAGTAAATTGTACAGACTGCGGCAAACCGCCTCTTCCTAAAACCGCAAAAACTGACAGCTTGCCACCCGACGAAGGTCCGAAGTACACGTGGCGGATAGATCTTAGCCAAACCGAGCCCTTCTGGTCTGGGTGGTTTAAAGGGCTGTCGCAGAAATTTTTAGATATGCGCATTCCTAAGTTACTTCTGCTTGCAAATATACATGGGCTTGACACGGCACTCACAGTTGGCCAGATGCAAGGTATCAGATGAATTTGTTTTATTTGAGGCTATGTAGCCACGTTAAACTAAAACTGCTGCAGTCAGATGATCCAATAAGAATCGAACTGTTTGTTTTGTTTAAACTATAACCATTTAACTGCTTTAGTCAGACACGCCAAAGCCTGTTGCGGATTGTCATTATGGACTTTTTTTAGGCAAGTTTCAGTTACAAGTATTGACGAAATCTGGTCATGCTATTCACGAGGACCAACCTCATCATGTAGCGGAGATTATTGGTGGGTATTTAGTTAAACAAAAACTCGCCAGTGCTAAAGGAGAGTTAGTTTGTCCCTTGCCTGGTTGTTAATTTTGCAATGAACAAGTTTATTTTGCTGTATTCAAACAAATGTTCAATAAAAATATATTCTTAGTTTGTGGCTTTCATTACTTATGCAACCAGTTATACTTACGTGACACCTGATTTATTCAGTGGCGAAAGCTCTTTTTAACGTTAAGTTGCACGTATAGTGCATTTTGGGATTTGGTTGGTAAATAAGACACACTCGTACCCATAATAATAAAATATATTTTTCCAGAAAGTCTACTTAAAAATGTGAAATCTAAGTGATTCAACATGTTTGCAATGCAATTATATACAGAAAATAATGCAGGGTATAACTGTTTAATTAATAAAGGTAAATCATTGTTATAAGCAGCTGTCAATGAATGGAAACGAACTTAATCGTAATAAATAACACCTCGAGATAAGTAGAACAACCAATAACATACTCGTCAATAATAAAATTTTGAAAAAACAGTTTAAAGAAATATTAACAACCATTTACACAATAATGTTAAAAACCTGAATTGCCTACCGCGGATTCCACTTGGCCAAAAGAACGTTTACACAAAATAAGCATATTTTTTGTATTTCACACATTAGATAATATGAGTTAAGTGATTTTGCAATTTATTGAACACATATATGTAATGACAGTTTTACTGCACGCAGCATGAGTTTTTGTGTCCATTCTTCAGTTTCAGCCGAGATTTAGGACGGTATCTCTCAAGGAAACTCAACTGCTTGGAATTAATTGCACCTCTCCTTTTTCTGAAACAAATATATCGTTAAACCACAGATTAAACATTCCGGAAAGTAAATCTCGTCACACAATATTGTTCGACATTGTTGCCACACTTGCACTCAGATTTGATTGGTTGAATTGGGTGATGATTTCAGATGACATCTGGTGTGGCGGCAATGAACTAATTTAAAGTAACTGTTTCGCTTTACTGTAAATAAACTAACAAAAATGGCAATGAGGTCAAGCATTTTTAATTTACTTCAAATGTCGATTGTTGGTCACACGTCTTACGTGCTGCGTATGTTATTGTGTACCAAACTTAACCCGTAACCAATGGCGCGTAATTTAAATTTCGAGGTCTACAATATCGGAATAGGTATTTTTTAAAATCGATTGTTTCTAGTCATGGCATATGCGTAATTATGGAGACTGATAACAAACACACGAAAAACAAAATTAAGTTTATCGATTGATAATTCGTTATTTTTGTTTACGTAATCTGGTTTAGTGGATGGCGCTAAAATTGGTCTCGACAATAAGTAGTTAATTGTAAAAATATTTGCATTGATCGTGTTCTTCAGTGAAGGTTAACTAGTAATTTTCTTAATAAGTTTGGCACTAATTTCGCTATTGTAAGCGCGGCATTCTGCGAAATAGGGTAAAAGGTCAGACGTCCTCCAGAAAATACTGGTTGAAGCCGTCTATATATAGACTCAGGCGGATGGTCGTTTCTGCCCCGGTCTTTCATTATTTTTATGCTCGAAATCGTTTTGCGTCGAAACACTTTTTATCTTAGCCGCGGCGAAAGTCGGTAGTTGTGCCTGTTTCGTCCCTGTGTAATATAATTAGATAGAAAATGGTAGTGGCGCCCTCGGCGATTATCGACCAAGTGGCGTGAAGGGTCCTCGTAACTTTCGGCATTGTTGTGAGAGCAAATATTTTCGGGGACAAAGGAGGTGGTAATTTGTGATCGAATGGAAGTACTTACTCCCGAATGAGTTCGACTGCTTCTTCATATTTGAGTCCTAATTCTATGAGAGCTAAAGCGACCATAACCGGAGCCCTTCCTAAGCCCGCTATGCAGTGCACGGCTACACAAGCATTAGGATTGTCATGAAATTGCTTCTTTAAAATCTTGAACCACGAGTCGACGATGTCGTTGGGTGGAAAGGTGCCATCGTCGTAACTCAGGTCGAAAACTTCAATGCCTTCGTTATTGAGTTCGTCTACTTTGTAGGAAGGTTCGCATACCCTGACGACCGCAGTAACTCTGTGCTTTTTCAGTTCCTGTAACATGTAGATTAGTGGGGGGTAATTATGGAGGCTCAGCCGCTGACCTGGATGTAAACATGAATAGTTTGGTCGGAAGGTCTATCTGTGATAAGAAACTTGAATCCTTTGTGCTCAATCTCAGCTGCAGCAGGTCTTATGTCTTTTTGACGCATGGCTGTACTGTTCATTCCACAACAAGACACTTTCAAGTAACACTAAATGTGTTTAGAATATCAGAGTATCACTCTTGGAGATCAAATAAGGTAATCTCCTCTATTATGGGCCAAAATTGTATAGTTATAAAAACAATTTCCACAAAATTATACTTTAAACTATATATCGGGAGTTTAAAGCAATACTTCAGTCTTTCAAATAAATTAACATAGGATTAATTTGCCTAGAACTTTTGAGTTATGTACACTATTTTTATACTTGATGATATGCTTATGCAAATATAGTAGATTGTAGGGAAGATAACTAAAACAAATAACCATTATTTTTAAATGCGTACTCCTATTCACAAATTACATACTCTTATTTGGCTCTTGTTGAGGTAATTCCAACAATGCTATGGCGATGATGCAAATGACTAAATTTTCAATGCTTTCCTTCCTTTTTTAACTAATTTATTTGTGTTGAGCCTGGCAATATTCTGCGCTGTCCAAATGGAACTCCATGTATGCGAGCACTGTCTCACCAAGGTACTGCAACAGAACATCCCAATTAACAAATGCTCACACAAGCCGACACGCAAAACTACCAATACACGGCCTTCAGCCATCATTATATACAAAACGCTAACAACCTACACGACGCACCAAAAAAAAAGCTCGACACCAAAACCCGCACTCATAAACCGAAGTCAAAAATCGCTATCTGTAGTTTTCCAAATACCTCATACGGGATAATGCAGCTTAAATTCGTTGATTTTGTGTTAACTTGTTTTGTCTTATCTTATCAACGAACAACCTAGGTTGGAGAAGACCTTGGTTTTAACATAAACGCGTAAACTAGCATTAGATTATATTTGGAATGGTGCATCGTTAGCCACATCCACCGAGCACGCCTAATTTCAACTCGCGTACCGTTCGCCAAAAATCGGTGCACTCTTTCTAGGAGTAGCGACGTTTCTGGCACAAAAATAACCGCCACAAACTGAAAAAGTCCAATTAAAAAGCAACGACTTTATGACCACTTGTCACATTTAACAACAAATAATAATTACGGTTTCCAAAAAACATTTGAAATCTTGCCAGCGTTCCTTTTAATATAAACACATACTCGTGACAACGGAATCAATGTCACCTTCAATAAGCATAATTAGTATTTTTTGCGTCAACAGCGATAAGTTTTCACTAGATGCGACCTAGCATCAATATGCCCAAGAAGATTCAGACTGCTGACTTTACACCTACTTTAACACTATCGGACGCCCTTCTGGCGCGATCCACCCCCGTATCGTGCGCCGCCTCCTCATATCTAACAAATACAATTAGCAAGCGAACAGAATTTTTCGCAAATATTTCCGTCAATCAATAACCGTCCGCGCGTCACATTTTTTATTATAAAATATGCCTGTTTACCTGCGTTGTATATCACTTAAGGGCGTCATAAAGAAGCGTCCTTGAAACGGCAACAGGTATTGTTGTCAATCAAGAAGGGCGATTTTTGCGTCACGTACTCGTGGACTGGTCATATACGATTCTCAATTGATTTTCCTGAATTGGCGAATTAATCCGGCGCCGTGTCATTAAGGATCAGAATATAAATCCTTATTGAGTTATAGGACGTTAGAAGTAAAAAGGAAAGCCAGATTAATGAAGTGAAGAGGGTTTAATCCCTTCGTTTATCGTAGCGCTTATTAATGAGAAGGGTTAGTTGATACTTGATTCGCTCTTTGATTAAAATTAAAAACGATTCGTCAACTCACCAGTGTTTTCGGTCAGAATTTTCAAAATACACTGGCTGATTTTAAGTTTTCAGCAAGTTGTGCGTAGAATCGCAAACAAAATAAGATCATGTGGTTTGCGACCTAGCACTAGCTACTATTTTTGCGGTTCACTGGCATTTGTTGAATTAATTTTTTAAAAGCTAAGTATTGTCAATTTTGTCAAAACATAAATCACCATGTGGGCGTAGCACACCGTTTTTAAAATTAGCGATTCATACCATTCAGGCGACCGATGCAGTTACTGTCAAAAATGTTTGTTTTTCTTCGGGTTAATTGTCACTGGCACTTCACATTACAGTAATTGCAGCAGCGAGAGCTTCCACACTATTCCTAGGTAGTGGGAGGTAGATCTAGGTTAGGGAGTTAAAATAGTACTCACACTCCGCCCATCCGCGTCAGTCTTTTTTTATTAGCACACGCTCGCGGTTTTCAAATCTCGCGCCACACCTTCACGCTCGTCCCTTAAGCCCGGCCACGTGACTTTCACTGACACGTTTAATAATAATAACTCTCTTCCAACATTTTTCCCTCAACGATGACTCAAACACTAAATACAAACCAATGTGGTATTGCATTTGATTAGTTTTCGGGAAATCCCCAAGCCGAGGTCACGACCCGGCTCAAATCAAACACTATTTGTTCTTTGAACAAACGAAAATACAGTAAGGGCCACACTTGCTGTCCGTTATCAGATAACAACTGATATCACACCTATTAAAAGAAGTGACTTCACTTCGTCGACTTCCAAGAAAACATCAATTCGCACAATATTCTCGTGATTCATTGTTTATGTGTTACCAGCTTCCGGATTTCAAGTTTTAGTTGTTGCTTCCCGTGTATTCGCCACATAACCATATTGAAATTGTGTGGTGATCGATATGTAGACACGTTTGCGGAAACTTTTTTTTGGTCGAGAAAGGTCACACACAAGCCTTCAATTCTCCAAAGACCGAATTAACTTCCACTATATAATTGGGTTAATTCTACTCATGCAATTTTTCCAAACGCACGGAATAATTTGGTCGCTCGCGAAATTTTGGCTTCGTTAACAGTGTCATCGGTATTTTTAGCGTTTCCGAGATAGTAAAAAGGGCAAGTGGCTTTAGTATTTTTAAGTATTGTATAAGCCGCGTCAAAAGAATGGAACTCGGTCCAAAAGTATTGATGACACAGGCGGGACGTTGAACTATATGCTGCGGCATTTGCAATTAATTATAGAATAATGTATATTTAGGAGCACTGAATGAACTTGGAATCGCTCGGATTTACAACTATTTTTCATCAACAGACGTTGCGGTTGTTGTGTAAATATTTACGGTTACGTCCATACCCTTCTCTAAAAGGATTTTCATGAGAGTTGAAATTTACACGAAATGTCATCCTGTTGCCACCAAGTCAAATATAAAAATCTATTCGAGGTTATGATGAACTGTCATCATTTTTATGCATACTATGACATTCACAGAAGTAAAACGAACCAGGTTGACGTTTGTCAAATCTCGTGTTTTCGAAACGCACGTGATCATAAATTTGATTTTAGGAAAATCGCGTTACGTTTATCGTTAAAGTTCTATTTTAACTTCGGCAAGGATATTGGAAATTAAAGCGAAGTGAAACAGCGCCAATGCTAGTAAAATTATAGAAAAATAAAAAAAGAGATAAGTTTTGGTATCAATGGTACTGCAGACTAAACAAAGTATCAATTCTTATGCATGTTGTATCATAATGGAAATTATACTCAACACTGGTAAGAATTATAAACTACGTCAATTTCCACATGGGATATTTTAACGTGGTTCAATAAAAGAAAATAAGTAGATGCACGATTCAGGAATTTTATGGAAAGTTGTTCAACTTACAAGCACAAAAAATATCGAGTGGTAATAACATATTTGACATTTAGTAAGGTTAGTCCTGTTACCATTGTTTTTCTATTAGTGTCGATATAATTGTGTACGTGCAATCGTTTAGTCCCAATATCTCTTATCAGAAAGTGGAAAATATGATGTCGAGATCTCTTTAGACAACTGAGATGACTGATTGGATGTTTGTGCAGGCAATATATCATGAGAAAAATGAGATTAAAAGCTAAATCGTATACACGCAAATAAAATTTGCTTTTTTGTATACTCTGTACACAATATGAACAACCCAGATGTATATATAACTTTATTACAGCAGCTATTTTTTCTGCAAAAGGTAGGACCTAAATATTTCTTCTAGTCACATACAATATCAATATAATTCAAGGGCGTGTTCTCCATGGAAACAAACAAAGTGAATTGTGAACACACCTACCAACATGATCCGTTATTAGCAGTAAAATTTTATGCGGGTGCAACTAAAACTCGCTCTATGAAAGTAAGCGTTGCTAATCAACTGATCGGTGACACTTTGTAACTTTAGCTGTTAAATTTGGCGAAATCCAGCAGCGGTCGGTACGAATCCAGTTCACATTTAGCTACAAATTTGTTAAGTGATCGAATTAAATTGAAACCTTGAACGCTGCTATCTGCGCGAATGTAGAGATATTTAAAAAACAATGACTATCGTCTTTAATTGGCGTTTCAGTCGCGAATAGAAAGTGACAGCACGTTCGCTGCAGCTATCATATGACTCTAAAATTATAGTTGCTTTCACAAGCCGAAGATCGACCAGTTTCAAAATCGAGCAGTTGCATGGGTGCGACAGGAAATGAGCGTACCAGGATAGGAACAATTAGATGATTTTTTATTATATAATCGCTTATTGTTAAAAATAGAAGAGGCCTGGGAGGGTTTGAACGGTTGCATTTTGGGCCAGATTTCGGCGCCAGTGACACGCGCACGCAGCATTTCCGTGAATCTAATCTTATCACAATTTCGATTTTTTCGCAAATTAAATAATCATAATTGTTGGCGGTAAAACAATGCGCTTGCGTTTATTTACGTGTGGAATGTGTCGGAACGTGGTATTTAACTTAATTTATTGCTCGTTAATAATCCTCTCCCTCTCGTAGGCTGACATTTGCTCTTCGGCTAAATTTGATGCAGTCTATCTAATTTTAGACCGATTGATTGGCTTCTCGGGACCGACTTTTATCAAAACCGCACAATAGAGAACGCGTTGTACGTAAACGTGACGTCATTTCGCGCTGACGTCACGAGTCACGATTGTTGAAGAATTTTCATTGCGTGATGGACTCACGCCGACAGGATGTTCCAATTTTACCATAAAATTGAGAAAAGCGTGAATCGATAATTAATTAGCGGTAATGTAATCCAAAAGTGGCACTCGTGTGCGGATCATTTTTATATTATCTCCCCTTATCATGATACACTGAGTCTAAATAACACTTGTCCGACATCATATTTTCGAATAAACTCATTTCCTTCGCGGATATCCCTTTACCAATATCGCAGCTAATATTATAAAAACGTGGTCGCAGCTTGTAAATCAAATTAGACGTAATTTATTACCGAGCCTAAAAAACGTATTTTATGCCCAATTACATCCCACGCGGATAAAAAATTAACGTGGAGTCGCTTCGAATTTCGCGCCAAGTTTAAACGAGATTGAAAGGGGCGGGGCCCGTACGTCACGGCAGTCCCCGATTTTGTGAAATTTTAAAAGCTACTAATCAAAAAATAAAGTAAACTTTCAGAAATTCAAGTTCATCGTCGGAACGTTACGACACCTTATCTAATTTGAGAACTAGGAACATTAATACAGACTTAACTGTGAAACCAGTGACTACACGCCGGAGGCCAAACA